ATATACACGAATTTATATTAATTTCTAAAACCTTACTTGTTTATAGTATCACATTGATATGCAATACTTTAGACTTGGATTTAAAATTCTCATTTGTTTTCAGATAAAATTTTTATGTATGGAACCAATTTGCGGATTTTACAAAGTAATTTAGCAATATACGACTTGTAATATGAAGTGATAAATATGTATAAAACTAAAATAGAATCACACATATTATTTATTATAATTGTTATTATCGATATAAAATCGATACGATTCGAATGAACGACTTTACATGATGTCGAGGCGACCTATTATTCTTATTTATAAGAAGAGAAACATAATTAATAGGAGAGCTGGGTTGTTTTACTCATTTTTAAATATTCAATTTATAATCTAATTTATTTTATTTGTCAATATTTTTTTTTTATTTCTAAACTTCAATTAATAGCTTTGTATTTAGTATTGATCAAGACAAGCAAGTATTTTCAGAAATAAATTATTGACCTTAAATTTTTACCATCTTTTAAAACTACATATTTATGAAATTTTTCCTAAAAATATAGATGATGATATAATATACGTACAGTAGAGTTCCCTATTTCCTAAAAATAGAGAATAGAGTCAGAATATGCTCCTCAGTAAAACTGTCTTTTATTTAGAAAGTCCTTTTTTCTAAAAATATCAGTATTTGCTCGTCAGCAGTTTTTTTTTTTTTCTAAAGTCAGATTTTTCATGTCAATAGAGTTTCATTTTTTCCAAAAATGAGAGAATTTTCTCGTCAGTAGACTTTCCTATTTTTTTTTCTAAAAATGTCAGATTTTTCATGTTAGTAGAGTTCCCTTTTTTCTAAAAATGAGAGAATTTTCTCGTCAGTAGAGATGAGAGTTTCTTTTTTTTTCTTAAAATGCCAGAATTTGCTCGTCAATAAAGTTCCTTTTATATTTGTCAATAAATTCAGGAATATTAAAATGTAATTTATAAAATTTGGAGAAGTTTTTCCTCTGGTTTTGAAGCATTTCAATTAATTTCTCTGATTTTTCGATTTTGAAGTTAAAAATTTTAGAGAGCACTTGGAGATTTGATTTTTTGATTCCGAAGATATAAAATTCAAGGGAGCAATTAAAGTTTATTTTAGAGATTATTTATTTATAAATGTGAAACCAGCTCTCTGTCTATTCACAAACATATCTCGGCAGCTTTTTTGTTTTTTCGCTCTCGAGTTACAATGCACTCTATTTTATTACTCTATGAAATGATGCATGCTTTATATATATATTTAAAAATATTTGTATATATACAATATATATTATATATATATATATATATATTGAATGGTAGAGTCTTGGATTTGTGTATATTTTGTAGAGTTTCGAACAAGAATCCAAAAATAATACAAAATAAAAAACAAGAAAAGTTTTTAAAAAAACAATTTCTTTATTTAATTATTATTTTATTTAATTATATATATAACTTTCTATAAGCATCCTGTACCTAAGAAAAATAAATAAACTCAGGACGTGCAATTAAAACTTAAGACTTAAAAAGGATGTGCTAATTATAATAAATATCTAGTAATTGTCCCAGTTTATATTTAACGGAAAGAATAAATTAATTAGAACAAATTTAGACGACATTTAAGCCTATTGGCAAGTTACTAAATGGAAAAATTCATACTCGAGTAGATTAAAACTGTCCCGCTAACCAAAGAATATTTTTAATTTTCTGTTGCGATTTATGAGTATACCGAGTTGTTGTAGGTTTTATTAATGTTAAACAAACTTGTAGATTGTTTAATTTTAAACATTTTTTTCTAATACATCATTTATATTAAGCGAATGGTTTAAAAGTTATGGAAGATACATACAAGTGACGCACTTTGGCACTTTTCTATCTCTAATGTAAATAAGAAGTCTTCTAAGTCTGAGTCTTCATCATAAAAAAAAATTGCAAATGACACCTATTTGCATAATAAATTCAACGTGGGCTCATCTTCAATTCACTAAGACAAAAGATTCATATACAAAAAAAAAAAAAAAAATATAATATCCCACACTATGGTCTTCCCACAGATGAGAGAAGTTGCAATTGCAAATTGCAATTGCAATTTCCGTTGCATCTGGAAAATGGAAAATTATTCGAAACGATTCATGCAATTATTCAAATTTGTTCTACTTCAACATCATCATCATTATTACTATTATTATTATTAAAGGAGATGACTTTGAGGAGGAAATAATTATTGTATATCCTGGAGATGCAAATAATGCAAACGTTAGTAAGAAAAATTATTTAGATTAGAAAATTTATTTGTTATTAATACTATTGTTTCAAATTTATCAATTTTAGTATTTGTTGGCATTAACAAAATTGTGAAATTATTTATAAATAGACATTTTTGTCTATAATTAGTCTAAAAGAAGTTACAAGCCTAAAAAACTGACGAAAAACTGCAGCGATTTTTAGTAACCAAGAAAGTCTATCTGAAAACATATGGCTAAGGTCTTTGTGCATTTTTTCGGTATGAAAAAAAGTTGTATTACTTTTTTTCTTGGGCAAATTTTTAAAATTTGTTTTCATAGCCAGAAATTATATAAAATTTGTGAAATTATTTATTAATAGACATTTTTGTTTATAATTAGTCAAAAACAAGTTACAAGCCTAAGAAGTGACGAAAAACAGCAACAATTTTAAGCTATCAAGGAAGCCTATTTCTATGTATATAATATATATATATATATATATATATATATATATATATATATTTATATATAATGATTATTTATCTATTAATTGTTTTTGCAAATAGTAGAAGCATCGGAAAATGTTGATTTTTGAGTATTTTACAAGTAAACCTATTTACTTGGTTTTTATATGCATTTTTATCAAAAATCAAACTGAAAATTACATCTTTCAATTTCTCTATTTTCTATTATATTTATTATTCTATTATAATTTAGCCGTGTCATGTGTCCGATGTCAAATCAGGTCAAAAAACATCTGTTCGTCCGTCTGTCCATCTGTCTGTCTGTCTGTTTTGCTGGCGGCTCATATGTAAATCACCTCGAATGCATTTCATAAACGCCCGCCAGTAAAATATACGATGACAACTTGCCAATTATTTTTAATGTTGAGGTACATCCACACAAAAGAGAAAAAAATAGGATAAAAACTAGCTGGATGAATCTGAGCAATGAAAGGTCGACAAACCATCAATTTATTTATTATTGAAATTAGTAGAGCCATTTCTTTTTAAATGACAGCACAAGTAAACTAATACATAAAGCCTTCGTTGGCAAATTTGGAAACATCCCTTAAATCTCGTTACCAATTTGCTTACATCTAATTGAATTTTATTCGTATGTCAATTAACTCGGCAGGGTTTATTCTTATTTTGTCCGATTAGTCGTCGAATTAAAATTCTAAATTTAGATTATGGATTTGTATGTGGATGCACCACAATGATGGTGCCAAGTTAACACGTTCTGAAATTGAGGAATGCACCTCCAAAAATAACCTCCAAGCGGTGAATTCACACAATTCTGGAACAAACAACAAGTACAACAAAGTTGTTGTATATAGATAGACGGAGGGACGAATTATTTACAAACATCTCCAGAAGTATATATAAATTTCAAGACTTACCTTTCAAGTTTTCCCAGAAGTTACGTTAGTACGTCCAATTGTTATAATATATGAAAACGCTAAAGATCTCAAGTTTTAAAAATTTATTAGAATTTGTGTATTTATTTTAGAATGTTGTAATTGTAATGCATTGTACCTCAGTATGTCTACTATCATAGCAAATACTAAAATCGATGAGTTTTCTTAGAAATTTTTTGAGATATTTGCATTTTTATGCAAAAAGTCCGTTCAATTGACTAAGTATGTCCAATATATGAAAACGTTGAAGAAGTAAAGTTTTAGAAATTTATTACAATTTGTGTATTCGTGTTCGAATTTTGTAAATTTAATATCTTGCACTTTAATATGTCTACTATGATAACAAATACTAAAATCGATAAGTTTTCTCAGAAATTTTTGAGATATTCACATTTTTATGCAAAAAGTCCGTTCAATTGACGGATGTCCAATATATGAAAACGAAAATTTGTGTATTTATTTTAGAATGTTGTAATTGTAATATGTTATACCTCAATATGTCTACTATGATAGCAAATACTAAAATCGATGAGTTTTCTTAGAAATTTTCAAGACATTGCAATTTTTGTGAAAAAAAGTACCTCCAAGTCTAGCAATGTAAGAATGCATATTCATGTGATATAAATTTCTTGTAATCTGGGTATTTAATTTATAATGTTGTAAAACTCAGTATGATATACTTCAATACGTCTACTATAATTACAAATACTAAAATAGATGAGTTTTCTTAAAAATCTTTGAGATATTTGCATTTTTATGCAAAAAGTCTGTTCAATTGACTAAGTATGTCTAATATATGAAAACGTTGAAGAAGTAAAGATTTAGAAATTCATTAGAATTCCTTTATTCATTTTAGAATGTTGTAAGCATAATATGTTACACCTCAATATGTCTACTATAATTACAAATACTAAAACAGATGAGTTTTCTTAGAAATTTTCAAAATATCTGCATTTTTATGATACAAGTACGTCCAATTGTATTAATATTTAAAAACGCTAAAAAGTCAATTTTTAGAAATTTCTTGTAATTTAGGTATTCAGTTAGAATGTTGTAACTGTAATATGTTATACTTTAATATGTCTACTATGACAACAAATACTAAAATCGATGAGTCTTCTAAGAAATTTTCCAGATATATGCATTACTTCACCAAATTCAGTTCTCTATTGAACCGAATTCAATTATCCTTTGAACCAAACAGTATCTGGTGTCTGATCTTTTGATGATCTCTTAATGATTTGCATCAAAGCATTTTCGCTAATGTTTTATTTATAAACTGTGCTTTATTATCATCTTGCATCCGAACCCGGTAGTAAATACCGAATAGTTGGCCAGATGACAGAATTGAGATTATGCCAATTAATTCTTGCAATGTTAATGTACCAGAAACCGAGGTAAACGAACTCCTCAGGACGACTAATTAAGGATAGAAATAGAATTCTTAACTAAATTAAATTTAATTTTTTCCATCAATATTTTTCCCATTATTCATATGTCTTTTTTCCTTTCAGGGATTTCCGTCCAAGTTCCCTAGAAAAGGGCCAAGAATCCTGTCGTCTGAGGGCCTATGCGGCCTATGCCTGGGGCGGCCCTTTATTGATAGCAGGTTGTGCAGCCCTGTTAGACAATGTTCCTGATTCTTCATCAGGATCTGGTGGCCCATCAGTTCTTAGGCCCAAATTTGGAGAGGAGAGGTGCTGGTTTTCTGGTAAGATGACAAAAATTTGGAAGATAAAATATTAAATAAAAATTACGATATAATGTCTACAGTATTCAACCAATGCAGAATATAAACTTCTTGGGTGTAATTTTACAGAGATAACATTGTATATAACCTTGATCTGGTATTTCGTCAGAAATATTTATCAGCAGATCTGGAATAACTGTTTATTTATTTCATCTATTATTTTATATATTATACATATTTTACATGTTTCTATTAATTTAAGGAATAATTTTAGACACTAATTTTATTTGTACCCAATTTTGGGAAACTTGACACACTTCTTTTGGTGGCAAGCAATTCTATTGATATAGTTAAATGTCTTCTACTATTTCGTTATTTTTTGTCTAAATTCTGTGTATTACTAAGAAATCTACATTTTACCAGTATTGGTATTTAAACTTTTTTTTCTGTATCTCTTCTCTTAATGATTCTAAATTTACTTTTGGCAATCTTTCTTCAAATGTTTATACGATCCCAATTCTACAAAATTAATTGGATCTAGTACTCGGCCTGACATTATTTTCTACAAATTGTTGATATGAATTTAGTTCGTACCAAATATTAGGGCCAATACTATTTCTAGTCCTTGTACTTCAACTTTTGGTACAAAATTCATTTTTTTTTAACTTTTTCTTCAAGCATGGTAACAAATACAATGTTTTGTGAAAAAAAATAATGATATTAGAAAAAAAAATATATTCGTGATCAGCTCTTCGAGACCTATTGATTGATATGTCACATGCAAAAAGTTTTCCTATCGGCAAGTTGCCAGTATCTTGTCCGATACAAAGAATATAAGCCAGTCTACCAACTTTCTTATATGGTAAATTTAGGGAAAACAGATATAATATTCGTAATCAGCTCTTCGAGTTCTTTTAATTGATATGTCACATGCAAAAAGTTGTTCGGGATTTGCCTTTAGGCAAGTTGCCAGTTACTTACTCGATGTTAAAAACTAACCAGCACAACTATTTTCTTATATGATAAAATTGTGGAAAACGGATATCATATTCGTAATCAGCTCTTCGAGCTCTTTTCATTGTTATGTCACATGCAAAAAGTTGTTCGAGATTTGCCTTTAGGCAAGTTGCCAGTTCCTTACTTGATGTTAAAAACTAATCAGCACAGCTCTTTTCTTATATGATAAAATTGTGGAAAAACTGATATCATATAAGTAATCAGCTCTTCGAGCCCTTTTCATTGATATGTCACATGCAAAAAGTTGTTCGAGATTTGCCTATCGACAAATTGCCACTTTCTTACTACAAGAGCCTTCTAAGATTTTTTTCTTCAATCAGCAGTGCCACATCCAATTTTCTATCTACAAAATCAACTAATTCAATTTTTTATTTAGGTGATTTGGAAATCTTGACATACTTCTACGGACCAATTGGATTGCTCCTTTTCGTCAACTTATTGCTGTTTACATCAACAGCAAGACAACTCACCTGCGGTCTTTGGAAACGAGAAGAAGTCAAATCTACCACAGAAAGGTAACAAAATTACGGAAAACAGATATCATATTCGTAATCAGCTCGTCGAGACCTTTCATTTGATATGTCACATGCAAAAAGTTGTTCCAGATTTGCCTTCAGGCAAGTTGCCAATTTTTCACTCCATAAGGAGTCAACGTGACTATTTCTTTATATGGTAAAATTAAGGAAAACAAATAGCATATTCGTAATCAGCTCGTCGAGCCCTTTCATTTGATATGTCACTTGCAAGAAGTTGTTCCAGATTTGCCTTTAGGCAAGTTGCCAATTTTTCACTTAAAATAAACAACAAGCCAGCATAGCATTTTCTTTATATGACAAAATAAGGGAAAACCGATGTCATATTCGTAATCAGCTCGTCGAGACCTTTCATTTGATATGTCACATGCAAAAAGTTGTTCCAGATTTGCCTTTAGGCAAGTTGCCAATTTTTCACTCAAAATAAACAACCAGCCAGCATAGCATTTTTTTTATATGACAAAATAAGGGAAAACCGATGTCATATTCGTAATCAGCTCGTCGAGACCTTTCATTTGATATGTCACATGCAAAAAGTTGTTCCAGATTTGCCTTTAGGCAAGTTGCCTTTTTTCACTCAAAATAAACAACCAGCCAACATAGCATTTTTTTTATATGACAAAATAAGAAAATGCAAAAAGTTGTTCCAGATTTGCCTATAGGCAAGTTGCTATTTTTTCACTCAATACCACCCAGCTTAACAATTTTCACCATTTACCCAGTTAAATTCAACCACAATTGGGGTTAATGATTCAATTTTTATTTTTCAGGGCTGCTCTTGGAAGGGTTTGTATGAAACTGGTGGTCGTCATGGGTGTGACGTGGATTGCAGATGTCATATCTTGGGGCGTTGGAGGGCCACATTATATCTGGTACGCTACTGATCTTATCAACGCCTTGCAGGGGGTCCTGATCTTCATTGTTGTCGGTTGTCAACCACAGGTAAATAAATGGATAAAGGGGTAAAGGACTCTGAAGTCTTTCTGGTATATTTACAAAAAATTAATGATGGTATCGTTTTGTGCTCTTCGAGCTCTTTTATTTGATATGTCACATGCAAAAAGTTGTTCGAGATTTGCTTAAGGGCAAGTTGCCAATATCTAACCAGCCAGTACAGCTTTTTTGTTACATTGTAAAATCAAGAAAAAACTAATGGCATATATGTAATCAGCTTCTTGAGACCAATTTATTGATATGTCACATGCAAAAAGTTGTTCCTGGTTTACCTATAGGCAAATTGCCAAATCTTCCTGGTACCTCAGGATTCATTTTGTAGTTGCTCATGCAGATTTATAAATCTTTTTCTGTCCCCTTAGGTTTGGGCAGCCCTAAAAAGGCTTTACGCAGACCACTGTTGCCACAGGACAACGAGCAATCCGAATGCCCCACAACATTCTTCGAGTTCTGTTGGAGGCCTACCATCGATTGGAGACTCTGTCACACACAATACCACAGCTAATGTTACCACGAATAAAATACCAATGGAGACTGTTTGTTAAAACATAAGAATAATCATGGTAAACGATGGATGATGGTACAGTTTCTATGATACCATTGTTTTCGAGGTGCAAGTCAGGAATCGATGGATTTCTGGTAAAGTTGTAGATGGAAGTACTGATGAGTATGTATAGAAGGATTATATTAATTTGTTTAAGGTTGAAATGGAAATTGTTGCTTAAGAGCAACTGTTTGGATATGGGTAATAGTCATATTTTTAGTAAAATATTGATGCAAACGGCCTGAATTCTTGGCTATGATAAAATGAGGCAAAACCGATGGCAAATTTGTAATCAGCTCGTCGAGACCTTTCATTTGATATGTCACATGCAAAAAGTTGTTCGAGATTTGCCTTTAGGCAAGTTGCCAATTTCTTACTCGATATTAAAAACTAACCAGCACAGCTATTTTCTTATATGATGAAATTGTGAAAAAATAGATGCCATATTCGTAATCAGCTCGTCGAGCCCTTTCATTTGATATGTCACATGCAAAAAGTTGTTCGAGATTTGCCTATAGGCAAGTTGCCAATTGGTAACTCAATATAAACTCAACCTATTAGCACACGAATTTTCTTATTTGATAAAATAAGGAAAAACCGATATCATATTCGTAATCAGCTCATCGAGACGTTTCATTTGATATGTCACATGCAAAAAGTTGTTCGAGATTTGCCTTTAGGCAATTTGCCAATTTTTCACTCCATCAAAAACCAGCCAGCATAACAATTTCTTTATATGGCAAATCATCGAAAAACCGATGTCATATTCGTTATCAGCTCATCGAGCCCTTTTCATTGATATGTCACATGCAAAAAGTTGTTCCAGATTTGCCTTTAGGCAAGTTGCCAATTTTTCACTCAAAATAAACAACCAGCCAGCATAGCATTTTCTTTATATGACAAAATAAGGGAAAACCGATGTTATATTCGTAATCAGCTCGTCGAGACCTTTCATTTGATATGTCACATGCAAAAAGTTGTTCAAGATTTGCCTTTAGGCAAGTTGCCAATTTTTCACCCAATAAACCAGCCAGCGTACCAATTTCCTTATATGGCAAATTTAAGGAAAACAGATATTATATTCGTGATCAGCTCATCGAGCCCTTTCATTTGATATGTCACATGCAAAAAGTTGTTCGAGATTTGCCTTTAGGCAAGTTGCAAAATTTTCACTTGATATACAGTACCACCCAGCATAACTATTTGCTTATATAGTAAAATTTCCCAAATATCTTGAAATTACATAATTTTTTAGTTGTATTTATAAGTTTAGTTTATTATTTTGATAATATCGACTTTTAGTATTCAAAAATATTAAATTTAAGTTTTATTCTAATTAAAACCACTAAGTTTTAATTAAACAAGGACTGCGTATACTACTTTTATAAAACGATACCTTTTTTCTCCAAAAAAGGGATAGATTATTAATAATTAGAACAATTTATTATTTTTGTTAATAGTATTTATTTCGTCCTAGTTTAGTATTTTAATTCCAACAAAAGTATTATTTAAAATTAATTGTACATTCTAAATTTTTGTATATATTATAATTTGATTTAAAAATATTTGATTTTTGTTTAAGAATTATGAAAAAAATTGTTTTAGAAGCCCTACATTGTCATAACTTTAAGTTTTTGGAAGTACCAAGTACATTTAGGTTTATGATAAGTCAAAAAATTCAAATGACGAGTTAAAATTTATAATAGGTAATAAAAAATCTAGTAATAATAATAAATTTAATCACTAAGAATTTTATTTGTTTACCAGATTACCAATAGTTTTATTTATCTTATTATCGAATTGATAATAATGATTTTAAGGATTTTTTTAGTTTTTCCTCCGAATCTCCGAAACCGTTGGACCTGCCTGCGCAAAAATGTAACAAATTCTTCATTTTGTGAATACAAATAAAATGTTTTTTGAATTTTTCAAATCGGATGCTCCGTTCTCTCAAAAACTGGATTTCTATTTTCTGCACTTTTTGCTCTGTATCTACGAAACCGCTGGACCTACCTTTCCTAAATTGTATTCAAATTTTCTTTTCAATAATACGAGTAAAATGTTTTTTGAATTTTTCTAATCGGATACTCCATTCTCTCAAAACCTGAATTTCCATTTTTTGCACTTTTTGCCCTGTATCTCCGAAACCCTTAGACCTGCCTTTCTAAATGTAATCGAATTTACGTTCCATCAATACGAGTGAAATGTTTTTTGAATCATTCAAATCGGATGCTCTGTACTCTCAAAATCAATAATAATTATTTGTAATATTATTTTTTGGCCACCAAATTCCAGTCTTCCAAACCCCAATCTTCGAAACCCCTAGACCTGCCTTTCCCAAAATGTAACCAAATTCTCATCATATCAATACAAGTAAAATGTTTTTTAAATCATTCAAATCGGATGCTCCGTTCTCTCAAAAATTGAGTTTATATTTTGCTCCAAGCCTCCAAAATTCCGGACCTAGCTTTCCTAAAAACTAAAAATACGTAGAAATCGAATGTTTTTTGACTCATATATATTTTGTACATGTATTTTCTTGGAATTTTTTCTTTATAATTAATAAAATTTCTTTTAAATTATATAAAATTTATTATATTGTATTAAATTTTAACTCGTTTGAATTTATTGTTTAAATTAGTGTAAATTAATGTTAAAAAAATGTTGCTAAATGGCATTGTGATTTTAGTATCGTATAAATGGAATTTTGTTAAATCAAACTTTTAATCGGTTTATTAATTTTGGTCATAGTGCCTTTTAAAACAATAACTAGCTAAAATTTGATTTATATGTAAATTTATATTTACAAATATTTATACAAAATTTAATTCATTAGACTGAATGGAATATTTGCTAATTGTTATACAAAATATTTTTATTGGAGTGACTGATGAATGCACAAAAACTATTTTTGGACTGATTATTAATTATTTATAATTAGGATTTAAGACCAATGAAAAACATCCAAGAAGTATTTTAATTAAAAACAAATAAATAACATTTTACTAACTAAATTTATCACAAATCTTACAAAAAGTCTTGTCTAATTTTAATTTTTATTATATATGTACCTTGCTTTATTTTTAATTACTCCTATTAATGTTATGACTGCTACAATGTGTATTTTTTAATATTATTAATAATGAATAAGTATTTTTCTTTATCTTTATCGAATGTTTGTACAAACAAGTTACCCCTGAGAAATGTTTAAATGTTCAATGTTATCGATAAATGAATATTTTTGTGTAGTTTTAATGACAAAGATTTATATGTAATTTTAAGATATACTGAATGATTAATTTATTTAATAAAAAACAGTAATTGATAATAGATAGTGATTTTGTCTTTAATATAAATAAATAAATAAATAAATAAATAAATATATATATATATATATATATATATATATATATATATATATATATATATATATATATATATATGATGCATTTATATAAGCAAAAACTGATTTCAGGGCTTTCTTCGATAAGGACAATCCAAAATTCTGCTAATATAACTGTCGTAGTAAGAAAACGAATAATAGTTTTTTGCAGACAATAGTAAGCTCAAAATTTAATTCAGAAGTTCATAGCTTTGCTAAACCAATAATTATTGGTAAATTTATTTTATTTTGTAATTACAGTCGAAAGTATTTGTAAATGGACAAAACATCTTTGTTCATAACTTCCTTAGTGGAAATTATTACAATAAAAAATAAATAGATAATTGATACACTTGCAATAATGCAAAAATAATAAAACCTAGTAAGTACATAGTAGAAGTAAAAGTTGTACAAATAGCATTTTTCTCACAGGATTGTTTTTCAGAGAAGATGAAGCAAGAGTTTTTCATTCTCTAAGCAAATTCTAGCATGATCAGCGATAGATATATAATAAATAACTCCTTACCTTTTATAGGAATCTTTTAGAAGTCAGTTCATAAAACCAGTCAAAGTATTTGAGGTACTTTTATATTGTATTTGTCCCTTTTTTACTAACGGACAAGTTAGTTTGAAGTAAAATAGTATCTGGTGTATTTATAAAGATAAGATGGTGTAATCGACTAAAGCAGAAATTGCATAAATCATCATAAAGTAACTCCTTTAGAAAATAAATGTATATATATATATATATATATATATAAATGTAGTTATATATGTTAAATATGCTTATATTCAGAAGCATATATTTATATATATTTACTTAAACTAACATTAAATTGGAGCATTGTTAATCGACTGAGGTTATCTAGATTTGTCTTTCTAAATATCCAGAAATCCTAAATAATTTATCTAAAATACATATTATAAACATCAACTAAAGATGTTTTTTTATCAATATATACTAATAAACAAGTATATATTTATATATTAACAATAAAACTTAAAATTGAATGAACATTAATGGACTTGTTGGTTATCAAAAGATATTCTTCCTAAATATCCAGAAATTCTAAATGATTTAACAAAAATACGTTAAATACACATCCAGTAAACATTTTTTGATTGATATATACTAATAAACAAGTATATATTTATATATTAACAATAAAACTTGAAATTGAATGGACATTAATGGACATGTAGATTATCAAAAGATATTTTTTCTAAATATTAATGGAAAGTTAATGATTTATCCAAAATACCTTAAATGCACGTTCAGTAAGCATTTTTTGATACATACCTACTTATAATTTAGTATAAATTTATATTTTAATGCTAAAAATTGAACTTGAACATACGTTACCGGTCATGTAGGTTAGGTCAAATATTCTTCAAAATATCCAAAAATCCTGGACAATTGCATCATTTATTCAACCAAATTCTTGATTATTGTTGATTTATACATACTTAAATATCTGTGTATAAGCAAATTACACAAATTTAAAACATTTGTATATTTTAAATGACTGTTAACTAAGAGGGAACTGTCAATTTGAATTTGATTTCAAACAACTTACAGAAAACTGTCAACTTTACTAGTATTCATTATATGCATGATTTTATATTGAATATTATATTTAATATCGATATTATTATATTAAGTAGCAAATTTAATATTTAACACTTAAGACTGTCAACTGGATGAGAACTGTCATCTTCAAAATGGCTGACACTTGAGTGAAAACTGTCAGCGTTAATATTTATTAATAAAATATTATTTTTGTTATTTGTTGTCGAATTTATCAGTTATTATCATAATTATTAGTTATTTATTAATGTATAAATAATTAATTATGCATTAATTTAATATATAAAAAATAAATAATGAGTGAAACCTGTCAACTCACGTGACAACTTCAGACTGAACTGTCAACTATTAATAATAACTTTATTATTATTTATTATTATAAAATTATATTTATAACTCATCACTGCACTTATAATTCATAACTACATCAAAAATTTACTTTTAAATTTCATATTTGTCATTAAATTTATAATTTACCATTTACAATTTATATTTGGCGCCCAAGAACTGTCACCTTTTATCAACGCGAAGTTGGTCACACCCGCATGCGCCTCAGTTCGCCGTCGGCTTTCATTGTGTGCGTATCGTAAAACCGTGTACCTCGTGTATTTAATTTTAAATGTATTTTATTTTGTAAATGTGCGTTTAAACCGTGACTAAAAGGTGCTCCGAGGGTGCTACATGGCGGGGACCCCCAGGATGGCTTCGGAAACGGTGGATTAAGGTAGGATTTTAAAGATTTTTGAGGATTTTGTTCGGCGGCGTCTTTGTGCAAATTCGCCATGCGGTTTTTGTAGGTACGGTAAAAATTGATTTTAAGAGCGAATATTATTTAAATTTGTTATTGATAGGTGTAAATGGTATTGGGAGTATATTGTTTAGTGGATTTTATACAAGATTTTTTTGGATGGGTTGTAAAAAAATATTTTTAAGCCTTTAGAATTGTGTT